TAGCTCTAGGTTCCCTCTTGAAAGCTTGTAAGCCAGTTAATTCTTGCTTTTGTAGTCCCCCCATCCCCCATTTGGGTATCCAGTGCCTCTGATCCTTTCTTATAGTCTCAAGATATAGGACTCTTCTGACTGTAGCTCTACAGCTGGAATTGTCCAACAGTGATGACTCATTAGTCCCCCTTGCTCAGCTATTGAGTGCCAAATAGAACCTGCCTAATTCTAATTCGTCAACCTTAATGACATGGATAGGGCAAAGTTTTCAGGACCTTCATTTGCTAATGTGCCATGACTCAAAATTAGAAAAAACAACTGCTAACATCCAATAATAATCAGGATGTGTAATGTACAAAGTATGAATCTAGAAATATTAGAAGTCAAAAATGAAATCAGACATATAACAATTGCTATCCTAAGCATTAGTGAGCTGAAATGGGCTGGTGGTAGCCATTTTGAGTCAGTCATATGATTTACTATGCTGGAAATGATAAATTGAAGAGGAATTGTGGCACATTCATCATGAGAAAGAACATTTCAAGAACTATCTGAAAATACAGGCTATCAATGATAGGATACTATCCATATGCCTATAAGGAAGACCATTTAATGTAACTATTAGTCAAATTTACATACCAATCACTGAAGCCGAAGGTGGAAAAATTGAGGAATTCTATCTACTTTTGCGGTCTGAAATTGATCAAACATGCATTGACAATTACTGGTGATTGGAATATGAAAACTGACAAAAAAGAAAGGATCAGTAGTTGGAAAATATGGCCTTGGTGATAGAAATGCATGAAGCTGGAATATCACATGATAGAATTTTGCAATACCAATAACTTATTCATTGCAAATACCTTTTTTCAGCAACATAAATAGTATATATGTGAACCTCACCATGTAGAACAAACAGGAATCAAATTGACTGACTACATCTATGGAAAGAGGCAACAGAGAAGTTCAATATCATCAGCTAAAACAAGGCCAGGGGCAGACTGTATAATTCACCATCAGTTGCTCATATGCAAATTCAGGCCTAAGCTGAAGAAAACTAAAACAAGTCCATGGAAGCCAAAATATGAACTTAAGTATATCCCACCTCAATTTAGAAACCATCTCAAGAAGAGATTTGATGTATTGCACACTAATGACTAAAGACTAGATAAGTGGAATGACATGAAAAACATACATGAAGAAAGTAAAAGATCATTTAAAAGACAGGAAAGAAAGAAAAGAGCAAAAAGGATGTCAGAAGAGACTCTGAAACTTGCTCTTGGATATAGGGAAACTAAAATGACTGTAAGAAATAATGAAGTTAAAAAGTGGAACAAAAAATTTCAAAGGGTAAAGTATTAAAATGACATGTATAAACCTATAGTTAGAAAATTAAAAGGGAAGAATATGCTCAACATTTCTCAAGCTGAAAGAACTGAAGAAAAAATGTAAGCCTTAAATTTCAATACTGAAGGATTGTATGGGCAAAATAATGAACTATGCAGGAAACACCAAAAGAAGCTGGGAGGAATATAGAGAGCATTGTACCAAAAAGAATTGGCTGACACTCAGCCATTTCAGGATGTAGCACGTAATCAAAAGCTAAAGGCATTGAAGGAAGAATTCTAAGCTGCACTGAAGGCATTGTCAAAAACAAGACTCCAAAATTCATTGGCAAATCTAACAAAAGAAAAGATGAAGCAGATGCAAATAAAACAAATAAGAAATTATATGGGTGACATCACAACAGAACCAATAGGTATGAAAAGGATAATAACACAATACTACAATGAATTGTACTCCAACAAATTTGAAAATCTAGAAGAAATGAACAAATTTTTAGAAACACATGACTTACCTAAACTAACACAAATGGATGTAGAAAATTTGAACAGACCTATAGCAAAAGAAGACATTGATCAAGTCATTAAAATACTCCCAACAAAAACAGTCCAGGCTCAGGTGAGTTTACTGGTGAATTTTACCTAACATTCAAAGAGAAGCTAACACCAATTCTACTCAAACTATTCAAAAATATAGAAAAGGAAAGCAAACTCTCAAATTCATTTTATGAAACAAGCATAACCCTGATACCAAAACCAGGCAAAGACATCACTAAAAAAGAAAATTATAGACCTCATGAACATAGATGCAAAAATTCTTAACAAAATTCTAGCCAGTAGATTCCAACAACATATCAGAAAAAAATAATACATCATGACCAAGTGAGATTCATACCAAGTATGCAAGAATGGTTCTATTTATTAGAAAAACAATCAACATAATCTGCAACATAAAAACAAAGGAAAAAAAGAAAACATGAGAATATCAATTGATGCAGGAAAAGCATTTGATAAAATTCAACACATATTCCTGATAAAAATACTGAACAAAATAGGAGTAGAAGGGAAATTCCACAGCATAATTAAGGGCATAGATACGAAACCTACAGCCAACATCATTCTCAATGAAGAGAAACTAAAAGCATTCCCATTGTAAATTGGAACCAGAAAAAGATGCCCTTTATCACTATTCCTATTCAATATTGTGCTGTAAATATTAGTCAGAGTTATAAGACAAGAAAGGTAAATTAAAATCATCCAAATTCACAAAGAAGAAGTAAAACTCTGTTTGCAGATGATCTTATACTTAGAAAATCCCAAAGACTCTGCAAGAAAATTATTGGAACTCATTGAAAGATGCAGCAAAATGGCAGGTTACAAGATCAACATCCAAAAATCAAATGTACT